TTTGCGAAATTCTATGATTTTCCTAATTTATTACTGCGTTTAAATGTGGATTTATATATGTATGCATATGATGACCATAACATTTATAAAAAATTATTAAATATTTAATAAACAAAGGCAAAATAGTCAAAACTTGCCAAAATGTTCTACACCTATTTATTTTATCCACGTGTGATATTTACTTAGAATGTATTTCCTTATTTCCACACCAAAGTGTTAATTGAAGTAATATGTTAAGGTATAGAATTCAGTTTATTTATTTTTTGAAGTTTACTTAAATAAATGATGTACTTAGAATAATAATAATAACGAATCCGTTGGAGAGTGGCCAGCAACGAACCAAATACAAGCAACCGAGCTCGAAATTTTATTTGAAATACGTAGCAACAGACTATTTCAAATAACATTTGGTTTCGAACTCGGTTGCTTGTATTTGGTTCGTTGCTGGCCACTTCTCCAACGGATTCGTTATTAATGTGTTCGCCCATAAACTCTAGATCGTTTTCGTTGGCAATATTATGTAGTACCCAACATGCTCCTATAAAATGGCACAACTTTTTCATTCCCCTTAATTTGCAGTAGTATAGTTGCCTCAAGCGTTGTTTTAATATGCCAAACGAATTTTCTACAACAACACGGCCTTTGCTAAGTTGTATGTTAAAATATTTTTGGCCCCTAGTTAAATGTCCGTTGTCTTTGAATGGTGTGATTATATAGTCACTACAAGGATAAGCCGAATCTCCAAGTACGTCTACATACACGTGAACACATTTATGATTTCAAATCATTACCTCCGCATAATAGTGACAAATTACTAAATACAGGAGAGTTTTTGGGAACCCAACTATCGTGGCTTGATCCTGGAAATCCAATGAAAACATTTTGAAACTTCTTCCTTTCATCGAAAACTGCTTGCATTACAAGTGTCACGTGGCCTTTTCTATCAATGTAATCGTCTTTGCGATCAGCAGAGGGGTCAATTACTATGTGCGTCCCATCTATACAGCCTTCTATTAAAATAGAAAAGTTCATAAATACATACATACATGGCCGGCAAACCACAAAAACCAAGCTAAACTTTTGTGCGCTGAAAATCGCTTATTGGAGCGCAGGTTTCTATATATGTCGCTTCCCTCATAATTCATTGCTAAATTGTTAAATAGCTCTCTCGTAATACAAATTCTTTGTCGGTGTATATGGGTACTACACATTCAAAGTAGTTTTTTATACAAGTTCTGGGTGTTCGTCGCGTAACTTTTAAAAGTTGTTCAATAACAGCATCATCTTCGCTGTCAGAATTCCGAGCAAGCAATTGAAATATCTCGTCGTCTGATTCGCTTGATAAATCCACGAGCTCTGCCACAATTGTGTGTAAAAGTTTGTTATTCTCTGAATCCTCCTGGTCATTACCAGAACTTCTTGACTAATTTAAAATGATTTCGCTAAAACAATGTGATAAATTAGAAATTGTTACTTACATCTTCGAAAATTGCATTATTTGGGTGTAAAACGCACACACCTCAAGAGTCTTCATTAGTACACACTGATTTGCCTTTAAGATAAATTAACAATTAATAAAATAGATTAAATTAAGAATAAATACTTACATTTTCCAATATTTTGTTGTTTACTTCCATTTTTTTAACAAATATATAAATCTATTTGACTTCACCGCTTTCTCTTTTTGTTTGCAAATGCAGATCAGCTGATCGTTTTGACACTTCATGAACTTACAGGAAAAAAATCTCCGGACTAAATCCTGTAACTTCTGACTAGGAACAGTTGCTCAGTTACTCTCTTAAAAGTGTTCCCACTTACAGGTTTTATGTCAATAGGAACGACTTCCTGTAAGTTCGGACTAAATCCTCTAAACCGGACTGCTATTGGACTAACAGACTATTTATTGCTGTCTTTTTGACGTAGCAGTTGCAAAACTGTAAAAATGTTTTTAAAATTGATCTTGGAAACATTTTGCGAAAAAAAATAGAAAAGTAAGCCATAGTTAAAATAAAGCAGCAATGTACATTAGGGCGGGTCAATTTGTATGGGACGGATTCTACGTGTAATTCTTAGCAAATTTGTAGAAAAACCATGGCACAGAGGGGTATTTGGCCGATTTAGGCGGCCAAAAGTCGAATTTTAAAAACGCACATTTTTCTTTTATAACTGTATATAGGGTGAAGAGAATAAATTAAAAAGTTTGGAGAGTTACAGAGGAGAAAATACATAGTTGTCAGTACATTTAGAAAAAAAATCTCTGCTTGACGGTAACTTCTAGTAAATATATGCAAATAAGTTTTTAAGGCAATAAAATCGTAAGAAGTTTTTGAATACTCAGTTTTTAAGGCAATAAGGTCCTAAGAATTTTTTGAATACAGAGTAGGCTCGAATATTCGCGAATTGATTACATCAAAAACATTAGGCATTGCATAATACAGTTTTGACATTCATTATTTTCAGTATATAAAATACAAACGGCTTGAACACTCAAATATCAGATATTTATTTGCTACCGCGTGTGCACTTAAAAATGCTTAAAACACGAAGATATTCTAGCTTTAATAAAAATCCGCAGTGTGTCAAGTTCATAATCCGCGGAGAAATTTATATTTCTTCAATGAATGCAAAGATAGATGCGGCCCAAAAAAAAAAGAACTGAAGTCGGAAAATTATTCCACGAATGAAATAACTGTGGTAAAAAATAGTTTTGCGAAATTTAAAAGCCAATTAAAAATAAGTGGACTGAAGCCCATAGAATAGCTGATACTTTTATAGAAAATAATCAGGAATGGATTAAAGGATCCTTTTCGATACCAAAAACGATCAGTCTTCCAGGACGACCTACCAAACCTTTGGTTGAGTCCAGCGATAGAACGAAGAGACGTAAAACCGAAACTGAAACGGAACTGTAGTGATACGGGAGTTGACTCTAGCTACTGTAATAAAGTTACGGTCAGCAGGAATGAGAGATGCATCTGAAGTACTTAAACAAATTACTTCATCACCAAATCGGGCACATAAATATTAAATCGCGTACCAAGAGAGTCAATCAAACTCTTTCGATGTTTATCAAAGCTAATTTGACATAATTAATTGTGCTAATAAACGGAAGGTAATAAAAAGAGTGATGTGTTTAATATTTAACCGAATTCCAAAAAAGGATTAGGATATCAGTTCGTCGGAATATTTTTTTTTTTTAATGTAAATATGTTATCGCATAACTTTGGACCACGTCAACCGATTTCGAAAATTCTTTTTGCATCGGAAAGGTCTGGTTTAGATCCGATCATTGGATCATGAAATATATATAGATATATAGATATATATATTTTTTAAGTCGGTTTTTTTTTGCTAAAAATTAAAAAAAAAAATAGCCGAAAACGTACCCTTTTCACAGCCATTTTCGGTCCTTTGTAGACCTAGTCCGCGTTTCATACACTTTTCTTCCCGTTTTCGAATTAATTTTCGGATTTTTTGCTGGCTGGGCTGTTCTCGCGACAAGCGCAGCAGCTTCGCGCACGTGTACATATATGTATGTTACTTATTTTTTGGAACTTCACAATCACACTGTGAAAGAGCGAATTAACACGATTTTAGAGGCAGTCAAGAACGAACTTATAAAAAGTTTGAAAACTTGCGAAATTTTTTGTTTGCAGCTTGCCGAAAGCACCGACGTAGTGGGACTTAATTGGGCAATTCACAAGGTGTTGTGAAGTTATATTTTCCTAACAAAAGTTGTGTTAAAACACGACGGTTGTGAACACCTGTTACGATTATTTATTATATCTCAGCACTTAACCTCACATAACACCGAATAAACATAGGTTGCAGAGTTGTATCGTCATGTGTTATTTTTCTTCACAAAACAATAACAACATTTTTACAACTGTCATGAAATATCAAGACTTCACGACAAACACGTCAAATACGACACCTTGTGAATTGCCCAAATGTTCTTCTCGTGTTAGTGAGGTACCCATTCGGAATGCAAATCGAAGAAGAACTTTTGGTGAGCGAAGTACTTGACACTTACACCACTAGCGTTTTAAAGCTATCGACAAATTTGTACAGAAAAATGGATTGAAATGGAGCAAGTGTGCGGATATTTTCAGTGGTTGGAAAAGCGAAAGGAGCGATGTCTAGGATGACGCAAGAGGCAGAAAACGCCACGAGAAGTCACAGTATGATCCGTCGGTATTCCCTGGCGGCCAGGGAGATGCCGCCACTAGATTTAAAACCCGTATTGGATGACGCTGCGAAGATAACAGAGGCCTGTGAAATTAAAATAAATTTTTGGTTTTTTTCTAGCACGTCGAGATTTTGTTTATTGGTGACATGTATATTTTAGAATTTCTAACAATTTGCAAAAAAACCCCATAAATAAACAAAATAAATCAGAAAAACGTACAAATGTTCATAACTTCAAAGTTAACGCTAAGAAAAATGATAACAGCCGGTTTCACCAGCAATTTAAATGAAAAATGATTTTTTATTTGCTGTCAATGTCCATATCATATTAAAAAAATTAAAATCATTTTTCACTTAAATTGCTTTCGTGAAACTGGCTGTAAAAGTTATTTTCTTAGCGTTAACGAGCACTACCAGCGTGGGAAGGTTTAGAAAAAACCATTGT